TCCCTATCCTCACCCCAAAGCCCTGGCTGGGCAGGGTACCCCACAGGCCATGGGAAGGACTGTGCTGAGTCCTCACTGAGGAGAGACCGACATCCTGCTGTCTGGCATCTCCTGATCTTGGAGGAATTTGCCCAGAGAACAGGGCTCGGGCAGCTGGGGCGCTGTGTGCTTAGCTGTAAACGAGATGCAGCTGGCTGGCATGAGCTGGGGCTGCCGCAGGCTGCTGTGTGCGGAAGCTCCCAATCCCCAGCTCCCCTCGAACAACCAGTAATTCAGGACGCTGATCCGGGAGGATGAAAAGGCCAAGGGCTCCCAGACACTCACCCCACTCCCGGGTGTCAGCAGAGGCTCCCTGGAGGCTGGGGACAGTGGCTGGGCTGCCTGTGCAGGCTGGGTGGGAGCAGGGAGGGAGACTGAGGCAGGAAGGGCAATGGTTACATTTCTATTTTTTATGTTGGGACCCTTTCACTAAATTGCCCAGGCTGTGCTTGAACCTCTGATCCTCCTGCCTCAGCCTCCCAAGCACCTGGGACTGCAGGCATACACCACTCTTTCTGTGGAGAAAATGGAGGCCAAGAAGACATACGCTTGTCCTAATGCCCTGGACTGGCGGGGACCTGTCTCATTTCCAGGCTAGCCTCCCCTCCAAGCTCCTTAATGCAGACACGCTGTGAATCCCATCCTCCTCCTCCCACCTCCTGGTTCTCCTAGGATTGTGACAAATTGAAAATCCTATTAGTGTTAAATTAATGGGCTTTTCTTGTGGGGCAGCGGCCTGGAACGGTGGCCGGGGCTGAGCGCCTTTGCAGGCGGAGGGTGTGGGCTGCCAGTGCGGTGGGCCAGCTCTCCGGAGCCCCCTTGGTCCTTTTTTTAACCAGCTCATCTCTCCGGCTGAGCAGCCTTTTATCTGGGAAGGGGCAAAGGCGCTTTGAACCTTGGAATTAAAATCTGCTGGGCCCTGGGACAAAGGATGAGTCCTGAGACCACTGCCCCTCCTCCACAGGCTGACCTGGACCCTCGGAGGGCTTTGGGGCCCGATGGTTGTCTCAGGTCCATGATCCCAAGGGCAAGGGCCGTGTGCCCAGCAGGAGCTCGGGAGCTTTGTCCTTTTCCAGGCTGTGAGAGGGCTCAGTGGGAGCTCAGGCGGCTGGGCTGGTTCTGGGGACTCAGCTGTGCGCTGGGGACACCCCTTTCCCGTGGCTCCTGTGTTGTGTCAGCAGCCGCCTGCTGTGTGAGGGTCCCTAAGCAGGAGAGGGAGCGTGCAGGAGGGAGCTGGGCAGAGGGGACAGAAAATGCTGAAATGTTTGGACCAGGTGTGGGTTCAAGGCCTGAGGGGGCCTAGGAGGGGAGAGGGGACCATGGGGGCTTCTGGCATTTTGCATCTTAGAGAGTTGGGTAGAAAGGAGGACTCATCTAGTTCCCCCTTCATAGTTCAGAAAACAGTTCGGGGAGTGGGAAGGCTCCGCTTGGGGCTATGCAGGCCGGTGGTGGCCAGGTAGGACCAGAGCCGGGCCTCTCAATCCCTCTGCAGCTGGCAATGGAGTGAAAACAACAAACACATCTAAGCCAGGCGGCACCAGGCTGGAGTCTTTGCTGAGCCGCCTTGGCCCAGATGGGCTTGTAGGTTGTGTATTCTATATACTTGGTGCCGGGAGGCGGCTGCGTGCCCATTATACAGATGCAGAAACTGGAGTGATCTGTGAGACCACTGGACGGGGACTGGCACTGCAGAGTCACCACATTCCAGGTTGTGGGAGTCCTGGCCGAGGGAGTGGGCGGGTCAGGCCCCTGGGGTCCGATCTGTCCTCTCCCTGACCAGAACATGGATTCCTGGGATCCAGCAAGACACTGCCCTCTCTGCTGCCCTTGTGTGGTGCCAGCATCTTCGCTGGAAGTTGCTGTGAAGCACTGGGGTGAGACAGAGCTGCCCGGGTGCTGCCCCTGCTGCCCCACGTCAGCCACTGGAGTGTGAGCAACCAGGGCAGGCAATGGGGACAGAGCAGCATGGCCACATCCACCTCTGGGATCCCCGCCCCAGCCTGTCTCAGACGCGACCCTCAGTGCTGGCTCACGTGAATGGGCCGTGGGCCTTGGGCTGTGGGAGCTCCTGTGGGGCCAGAGGTCAAACAGACAGACCCACAGGGAGGACAAAGGGAGGCAGACAGGAGGCCATGGGGCTGGAGGACGGGGCTCCCTGGCACAGGGGACCTGCAGGGCAAACTTTTCCGTAAGACTGAGGTGTAGCCAGGAAACAGCAAGAATGGCCTGGGCAGGAGGCACACGAGGAAGACAGCATGGCTGGCCTGTGGGAGGGGCAGGCGGGCCTGGTGGTGGGCAGGAGAGTGAGGCTAGAGAGCAGGAGTATGGATTTCTGTGCCCACCTCTCACCCTCCTGGGCTCTAGGGCAGGGAGCGTGGCCCATGGTCCTCTGGTCCCTGTGAGACCTAGTGCCAGGCCAAGCATAGCGTGCTGTGCTGGGGACCGTTGGATACTCTGATTTCTTGTCTGACCATGTGCCTTGTGTGGCTGCTGGGGTCAGTGTCATTGTCTTCCCATCCCGATGGCCCCACCCCGCCTCTCCTCTCTGTTCCCATGACTGCTCAGGTTCCAGACGCCTCACTTGTGTTTCAGGCATCCCCAGGTGCTTCCTGTATCTGGCAGTTTCCCCCAGTCCAACTGGAAGTTTCCCTAAGGCACCATCTGACCCTGCTGCCTCTCTGTCTGAACCTTCAGGGGCTCCCTGGACCTGTGCGACTCAGCCTTGCCCACCCCTCCAGCCTCAGTCCCAGGTACCTGTTGCTTCCCTTTTAGACCAAGAACCTGGAAGAGCCGCACTGCGAGTTATTTAGTTGCAGATCTGCACAGCCAGCTCACGGTCTTGTAGAGTGCGAATGCACAGAGTCCGCTGGGCTGTGGGCACCTGGCAGGAAGCTCCGGGCCTGGCTCCAGCTTGTGGGGTCCTGGGACTCCCATGTAGAGGACTAGGGTGGCCCAGGCAAAGCCGAGAGAAGGTTATTTTGGTTATGGCAGATAAACCCCTTTGGAAAATGTGAGCGGCTTCTGATCCCCGGGTCTTCTCCCCTGACGCCCTCCTTTTGGCGTGTAAGGAAGGGCAGCGCCTCTGTCAATAAAGAGCAATTATGGGCGGGATTAGAGAGATTATCAGAACAGATGGAGCCTCTCCCCAGCGGCCAGGATGAGTTTACACTTTCCCTCTCTCCCAGAGGATGTGTCGCAGGTCCCTGGCCCTGCTGGCCCCCAGGGGAGGGGGACGTTCAGGGAGTCAGTGGAAAATTGTCACCCCAACACAACGAAGGGCGCAGGCTTCCTTTCCAGCACTAGTCCAGGAGGCGGGAAGGCAGGAGGGAAGCAGGATGGGAAGCCAGGACCCCTGCCTGTGTGGCTTGCTCTGGCTCGGTCCCTGGCCCAGCCTGGTTTCACTGAGGCCACTGCTCCTGTTTTTAGCCTTCAACTTCCTCATCTGTTCAGTAAGGTGACAGCTTCTCAGCTGGCCTCTTTAGTAATCAACCGCACGGGGCTGTGGATTTAGCTCAGTGGCACTGTGTCTGCCTTGCAAGTGCAAGGTCCTGGGTTCGATCCCCGGTAGGGGGCGGAGTGGCGGGGGGAATCAACTGCAGCTTTTTTTTTTTTTTTTTTTTTTTTGGTGTTGTGGATCAAACTCAGAACCTTGCCCTTGCAAGGCAGGCATGGTGCCACTGAGCTACATCCCCAGCCCCACAGCTTTTTTAATATACTTGGCTAAAACTCACAATAGAAGTCCAATGATCTTTTCTTTTTTTAATTAAAAAAGTTTTTGAGACAGTGTCTCCTAAGTTGCTCAGGGTGGCTTTGAACCCAAGGTCTTCCTGCCCCTTAAGTACTGGGATTATAAGCTCCGTGATCCTTTTTTTTTTGTTGCCAATGAACTTGGAGAGGAGAAACACAAACAGAAAAGACTGACCAGGAACTCAGCCCTGTTGCCCCTAACCCACGAGCTAGCCAAAGGTCTTAACTATGGGAAAGGACAAAACATGCAGAAATGAAGGAAACTATATGAAAATTACAAGTGAAAAAAATTGGGAGGGAAAGGAGAAATAAAGCAATATAAATGTGCACAGATTTCCTTATCTTTTATAGCAAAAGGATATCATTTAAATATGAAATGAGTGGAGATGTAATTTATTATAAATAGAAACATAAACACTAAGCAATATAAAATAATAGATTTGAGTCACAGAAGGGGAAGGAAAAGGAAGGAATGATGTTGCCCTAATAATAGTTACGTTTTCAGTACAAGAAATTAAAAATAAAACGACAAATTTTATCCCTTTCTCTTGCATCAGAAAAGACATCAACATGGATTATAGAAACTCAGAAAATTGAGATAATAATGTGAATCCATGTTGGCATTATGGGATACTGTTAAAGCAGAGCTCAGACAAAAATTCATAGCTCTAAATACTTTTATTAGTAAGTAATAAAGATTGAAGCTGAGTGTGATAGCACATGCCTGTAAATCCAGTCCTCTTGGAGGCTGAGGCAGGAGGATCACAAGTTCGAGCCCAGCCTGGGAAACTTAATGATTTAGTGAGATTCTGTGTCAAATAAAAATAAAATGACAAGGGATAGGGATGGAGATAAGTATGGAGGCTCGGGGTTCATTCCCTAGTATGGAAAAAAAAGAGATTAAAAGTACATAAATTAAATCCATGAAGTTAGAGAAACAGCAATAAGGTAACTGAAGAAATAAAAAAAAGATATATTTATAAAGACACAAGTAGGTCTTGATAAATTAGGAACTGGAAAAATACTAGGACTGATACTATTAATACTAGAATTAATTTTAGAATTTTAAATTTACTTTTAAAAGAAATAAAATTTAAAAAGAAAGTAACATTCTAATTTTATTTTACAAAGATAAAGCAGACAAAATTTAGGTGACTAATCCAGAGGGGGGAAAAAAGAAAGCAAAAGGCCCAAGTTTATAAAAGAAGGATCATGTACTCACTTGGGCAGCACGTGTACTAAAACTGGAATGGTGCAGAGAGATTAGCATGGCCCCTGCGCAAGGTGGACACCCACATTTGTAAAGCGTTCCACAGTTTTCCTGTTTTCTCTTGGTCTTTTTTTTTTTTGTAGCAGGGATTGAACTCAGGACCTTGTGCTTGAGAGGCAGTCATGGTGCCCCTGAGCTACATTCCCAGCTCTCTTTTGGTCTTTTTACACATTCCTTTAAATTTTCTGCTGCTGTATCGCTTCTTGGCCTTTTGCCTAAGATCAAGTGTAAATTTTCTGCCGCAGCAATTTGAGAGAATATATTTGTATAAATTATTATGATGGTGGGCGCCAATGTACAATTGTTATTAATTAAAAATATATGTCTGGGGGCCAGGGATTTAGCTCAGTGTTTCCACTGCCTGCCTTGCAAGCACAAGGACCTGAGTTTGATCCCTGGTA